ACCTTCCAAGATCAGCCAGAGTTGGGTAGGGGTGTGAACCAAACTGCAGTGAGAACAACGCTGAATAGTCACTATTATTTATTAATGCAGTGCAGCCGAAAGAGCATTTAGACCAAGGTACCATGAATGTCTTCTAACCCTGGCTGATCCTTTTAATTCTAAACCCTGTTCTCTTTAATTAAAAAGGTTACCCCAGGGGACTGTGCCTCTATCAGCAGCTGTCACTGGGCAAAAAAGAACCAATTTGTCATTCTTAGCAGCTTCTCTAATCCCCTCTAATTCAGTTACCAATCTGCGAGGGCCTTAAGAGGATTGGAGCATTTGCTAAATTAGATAAGTAAAAATAACAAATGTCAGTAAGTTGGAGGGCTGGGGTGGGGGTGAGTCTGGAGGACAGGAGCTGTTTCTTGAAGGTGAGGGCATCACCCCAAAAGTGGAAGAAAACAGGCCCCTATAAACCTCCCCATTTTTACCCCTATTGAAAAAAAAACCAAGCTGGAAAGACCTTTTTTTTTTTTTTAACAGAACGCAAATTGCAAGGGTCACCTCCAGTGGGATTTAAACGTGGTCTGGAATAGAGGCATCCATAGGGTGTGGTGTAAAAAAAAAAAGTCAAATTTTTGACCTGCTCCCCAACAGATTCTGCTCCCTGGTCTGGAAAGAACCAAGAAGTGAAGGCTAAGGGTAGGATAGGAGGACACGTTCTTCAAGACCCTGAAAGGAACTCCCAAGGTCAACCTCTCTTCTCTATCTTTCCAGACCACAGGATCTAAACAGCCAGAATCTGGATAGTTAGGAAAGTCTTGGATGCCATGACCTCAAGAACTCTTCTTGGGTTTTATTACTGTGTTTGATCTGATGATGGCTTTGTGGGTGGGACCTGCTCCTTGTTCTGCTCCCCCAGCACGTCAGTTTTGGGTTAGATGATAAACCAGGCATTCAAAATATGTGACAGTTTACTTCACGGGGAGCACCATTTTTCTCACCAGGTTGTGGTCAAAATGGTGGCCACCACAGTGCAATTGAAGGCCCATCTGTCTTTTGCATGTTTCAGGTGCAACCCACATAAAGAATGGGCAGAACTTCAATCACACTGCTGTGACCGTCATCTTGACCTTTTTGACCATACGCTAGGCGCACTCTTGTCCCAAGCCATAGTAAATACTGTATTCCTAAAATTTAACTCTCCCCAGCTGTATTTCTCTGATCTCAACTGTCACTCAGTCAAGCAAGATTTGCAAACGTCGTAAGAATGGCCCAAAACGTACTCTGGAAAAAGCTGGAAAAGTTTTGGCCTGAACATTTCTGTTCACACAAGATGTTTAGCTTGGTTGCTGTAATGGTACGTGGGAATGATCTTAGGAGACAGGAGGAAGAGCCGCAGACTGAACAACAGTCAGATAAGAGGCAGCTGAGCCCGCAGAAGGAATTGGGGTGTGGGGAACATCTCAGAAGGGACCCTCCCTAATTTCGTGAACTGTAAAGATGAGGAGGGAGAGATGTATTTTCAGACTTGCAAGAGTCTGTTCATGTCACCTTACTATAAAACAAAGTTAGTTCATCTGGGCATATTTCCTGTCTAGACTACCTTGCAAGGCTGGCAGTTGCTGAGTTAACTCATGGGGGTGTGTTATACAATATAGTGAACCAGAATCTAAATAAACCATAATCCAAATTATTTGGCTTCAATCAACACACTAACATCCCCCCCCCCCCCCGCATGTTTTGTAAATCCAAATGTTAGGCTTGCAAGAGACCTGGTTGAGGAGGTGATATGAACACAGTCATCAGTGATCTATCTAGGGCTAGGTAGGATCAATGGTTTTAATTGAGGGCAAAAATCACCCATGCAAGCTGTCACCCCACATTCAAACTGCTTCTTTATTCAAAGGGGTCTCTATTCCATGACCCCAACCAAGTATATGTCCTTCTGCACTTGGACCTTGCACAACGAGTCTACAAATAACAGCTTATTTTACCAGGTTGAAAAGCATTGGGTTTTAAGCTGCTGTTAAGGCACACCAGGGTCAGTTGGTAACCTGCCTGTCCATACCCTAATCCAGTGTTTCTCAACCTTGGGAACTTTAAGATATGTAGACTTCAACTCCCAGAATTCCCCAGCCAGAATTCCCCAGCCAGCCAAGTTCCCAGGGTTGAGAAACACTGCCCTAATATAGTGATTTCCTGTTCCTAGTCCTGCATTTTCTCAAACTTAAACTGGCTTGCAGTCCCTGTTTACAGATCAGAGCAATTCTAGTACCGTTATTCAGTCATGTACTTACCCTAATTTTACCCAATCAATTGTTTTGACCAGGAATTAAAACAACAACAAAACCCCACACAAAACTATTCTTCCTTTTAATAGATTTTGATGTGGTTTTTTTTTTAAC